AGTGCTGGCAGAGTCCATCGTATTCCCCTGTGTGGATCGTTCTAAATGAATAAACGACAACTGCAACAATAAGCTATCATGTCACAAAGCGCAATGGAACAACCTACACTATCAATTTCAGCATGCTCGTAAACACAACTTGAGTTGAGTTCTTCCCCAAGATGCGACCTGCGAACGGAATTGGTTAATGAAAAGCCTGAATTCCTTTGTGAAATAACTTCAACGGTTCCTAGAATGCATCGATGTTCAGTGTGGAGAACTGATTCGTTTGGTTGTTACCGCATGAGGTTTGCCTTCGCAAGTGTTTCCGTTCTCATTATCACATACAACTGTCGAATACATGAGGATTGACTGACGGCAACCGAATGACTATGGAGAGTAAATGAAGAGCAACATATCCTAGACTATCTTCGAGCAGATACTAACACCAACATGGCTGGCTTTTTGTTGGGGCTATTTGATTACGCACAGACATTTGATTTCAGGATGTTCTGATCTTATCCTGGAAAAGTCCCATTTACAGAACAAAAGCAACGAAACAATCGGATTAAACTGTTTCTCCTACGCAAACCGTCGTTAATTCAAATAATTCGAAATACTTATTCTGATGCTGATGAAAATACAATCAATTGAGAATATCATTTTCACTGCTAGAATTAATTCTCGCTTTCAGCTTCAATTCATCACGACGTTTTTTTGGGTTTGTTGGTTAGGTCAGCATGAGTGTGATTTTCAGTGAACCTCAATATTGCATCAGCTTTCACTGTCATTATTAATGCTCACTTAATCCAAAAAATATCACTTTTGACTATCAATATTATTATCTTAATGTTTACTGATGCTAACATTGCTTCTGGTATTATGTTAACATTTTTATTGTGATATCCCCACTTGCCGTCAGTATTGCGATTTTGAAAATGCTCATCATTTGAATTTTACTTTTGGTCCACTCAATGATTTTGGTGTACGGCATAAATTTGTTTTCACGTTGTAGCATTAAGAGAGCAGAACTGCATTATGATGTGATGATTTGATGTGGACAAGTAATACGGAACAATTCTAGACGAATGTTTATTACGGCAACATAGAGCGGTGATGTAAGATATTATAAAAAATTCAATCGTCTAGTCCAGATGCATTTTCAGGTCTAACACCGACTTATGCGCAGAAGTTTGGTGCATGTGGTGGTTGCGGTGCGCCTGGGAACTGGATTGGTCCAAGACCGGCCCATCTAACGGCAGCCTGCTGAAATTGAAATCAAATTTTTAGCGTTTATATTGAACATTTCGATAGGAATGAAGAAACACCTGCCTGCCCAATCAGTCTAACGAGAAGTATATGTATTAGTCAAAATCAATCTAACATGAACTAATGATATCATGATGAGAAGTATGAACAT